CCCCGGGTGACACCGGCGTGACACCGGGGGTGCTGCTCCAAGGCAGGGCTTTGGTTCCCCCGTGTCTCCATCCCGCTTTGTCGCGGCTGTGGCGGCACCGGGACGGGGCCCCCGGTGTGCCGAGGGGTCCCCGGGGACACTTGGGTCCTTGGGGACACTTGGGGTCCCTGGGGACATTTGGGGTCCTTGGGGACACTTGGGGTCCCTGGGGACATTTGGGGTCCCCGGGGACATTTGGGGTCCTTGGGGACACTTGGGGTCCCCGGGGACACGGCTGCCACCAGGCCACGCCACCCGGCCGGCCTCGGGGCGGGTGCTGGAGCTGTTTGGGGCAGGTCCGTGTCACCTGGGGGGGACGCTGGGGACATTCCTGCCCCCGCAGCGCGCCCCCGTGTCCCCGCATTCCGTGTCCCCAGCACCGGGGGGTGCGTGGCATCACGCCGGCGGGCTGGGGGACGGCAGGGGAGGCCCGGGGGGTGCCCGGCCCGGCCCGGGGCTGCAATGCCAGCAATGCCCGGCATTTCCCGGCGGGGCCGCGCTCCCCTCGGCTCCAGCGCGGCAGGAATGCCGCCGGGACCCCCTCGAGCGGGGACAGCGACAGGCAGGGCGGCAGGGGACAGCCCGGGGGACGCTGCCAGCCCCAAGCCGAGCTGTGCCGGGCTCCCCGAGGTGCCGCTCTTTTCCTTATTCCTCCCGAATTTTGGCTACGTGGTTTGGGGACGCACGGAGCGGGGCTGGGGTGGGGAAGGGGATTTGTCCCCGTGCGGGCAGCAGCGACAAGGGTGGCTTCTTGTCCCTGGGGTCCCCAGAGCTGCCAGGGGGCCCGGATGGACCCGCGGGGGGTGGTGGCGCTGTGCCTGGGGGACAGCAGGGGACCCGCCACGCCTGGGAACCCCCCAAAGTGAGAGGTGGGGCTGGGGGGGCTCTTGGTTTAATTCCAGCTGGGAATTGTCCTTGGAACATTTTAATTTTTTTTTTTTTTAAACTTAAAAAATTTTTAAAATTTTTAAATTTTTTTTTTTTTTTTTTTTTTTTTTTTTTTTTTTTTTTTTTTTTTTTTTTTTTTTTTTGCCACAGGCATTGAGAGGGCCGTGAGGTGCTGCGCGTGTCTCTGGGGGGATATTTATATTTTTGTCCCCCACGGGGCTGTTCTGGCCCCCCGGGGGGATTTCGGTTCTCGGGGTGCAGGATACGTGCCCACCCCACTGCCAGGAGGGGACAGAGCTGGGGACACAGAGGGGACCTGGGGTGTCCCGCAGCCCCCCCAGCTCTCCCCGGTGGTGACAGAGGGTGACAAGTCGCTCCGTGTCCCCGGCATCGCCCGGTGCCCTGCGGAAAGGAAGGAAGGAAGGGGCCGGGAGGAGGGAGAGGAGGAAGCGGGGAGGGTGGGATGCTGCCCGGGGTGATGGAGGAAGAAGGGGGCGGATTGGAAAAAAAAAATAAATAAAAAAGAAGGGAAAAAATTGAAGGGAAGAAATGAAAGGGAAAAAAATAAAAAGGGGGGGGGGGCCTCCCTCTTTCCATCCCTCCCTCCCTCCCGAGGCCGGGGGTGGCTGTGCCTGGGTGGGGGCTCTGTCGCTCGGGGGGGCTGAGCGAGCGGCGATACGAGCGTGAGGCAGCTCCTGCGGCCTGCAGCTCCGGGGAGGGGGGGCTGCCACCCCCATGGGGGTCCCGAGCCCCGGCTGAGACCCCCTGACCCGGCGGGATGGTGGAGGAGAGCGCGGCCGCGGCGGCGCGGGGGTCGCGGCGGGGTCGCTGCCGGCCCCCCCCGGCCCCCAGCCCCCGGAGGCTGTGGAGCGTGGAGCGCTCCGGGAGGGGCTGGCGCCTGGAGCGGCCGGTCGGGGTGGACTGCAGCTCCCCCGAGCCGCGCTGCATCTGGCTGAGCAGCCTGCGCCGCCACGCCGCCGCCCACGACCCCCGGGCGACCCCCGCGCCCCGCCCGAGAACCGAGCGGTGCCGCCGGGTGAGAGCCGCGAGCCGGGAGCGGGCCGGGGGGAGGATTTGGAACCGCGGGGAGGGGTCTCAGGAGGGCGGTGGGGTGTCTGTCACAGCGCCCCGGTGCCGGTGTGTCCCCTTCGTCGCCAGGGCTGGGGTCGGGGTCCGGGTCCTGCTGTGCGGTGCCCGGGGGTGGGGACAAATCCCGAGGCCAGGGTGGGGACAAATCCCGAGGCCAGGGTGCGGGGACAGCGCCCCTTTGTTCGGCAGGAGCGGGACACCCGCAGGAGGTTCCTGTCCCCAGCGTGTCCCCGCGGGGGTGGCTCGGTGACGTGGGGGACAGGGGCTCGGTGACACCTGTGCTGCGGGGTGGAGGGACACAGGACACCGGGGTGACCCAGCTGGGGGTCCGGATGTCACAGGATGACCGAGGGGCTGTCCCCATCCCCGCAGCGCTCCTGGGATGGGGATTGGGGAATGCCGGGATGAGGGAGCCACCAGGGCCAGGCTAAAATCCAGCCAGAAATTTGGGAGGAGGGACAGGGCTCTGAGGACAAACGGCTGGGGTGACAAACTGTCTGGAGGAGCTGGAGCATCCCAGCCAGCACTGGGTGGCTGCCCAAGGCCACAGCTGCAGGCTTCGAAACCCGAAAACCTCCAAATCCGGGTGGCGGAGAGGGAAACTGAGGCACGGCAGCCAGGCAGGATGGTCACCTCACACCTGGGGACGCGTCCCCGAGCCGGAGCCGCCCTCCCGGCCGTGACACGGGGACACATCCCTGTCTGCAGCGTGCCAGCCCTGGCCGCCGGGCCTGTCCGTGCCGGTTAAAATCAGCGGGGCACTTTCAGCTGTCAGCTTAAAAATAATCCGGCGAGCCGGGGCCGACACAATGGAGGGCGCAGATGGGGCCGGGCGCCGCCGGGATGCTCCCGGCCCCGGGGCCGAGGGATGGGGTCCCCCGGGAGCGGGGGGCGCCTGTTGCCAGCTGGGTCGGGGTTGTCCCCTGCGACTCGGCGGGCGGGGAGGGGTTGTGCTGCTGGCAGAGGGGTTTTGCGGCTCTCCCGTGGTGGTGTTTGGGCTTCTGTGTGGTTTTGGGGGGGCAGGCGATTTTTGGAGGGGGTCGGGGCGGTGGCGGATGTGTGTGGACCCCGTTCTCAGGGGGGCGAGACCCCCGTGGCCACCCTGGGGTCCGTGCAGGACGTGCTGGGCAGGGGACACAGCCCGGCCCTGCTGTCTGATCTCCCCACCAGCAGCAAAAAGGCCCACTCAGCACAGGCACACACAAAGGCTTTTTGTGCCTTGTCCCTTTGTGTCCCTTGTCCCCGTCCCCTCCCATCCATCGCTTCCACCCAGACAGCCCCTGAATTTTAACATCCCTCATCCCAGCACGGGCTGGCTCCGGCTGCCAGGACTCGGGCAGGGTCCCTGTGGATCCCTGCTTGGATCCCTGATTGGATTCTGCCTGGATCCTGCCTGGATCCCTGCTTGGATCCCTGCCTGGATCCTGCCTGGATCCTGCCTGGATCCTGCCTGGATCCTGCCTGGATCCTGCCTGGATCCTGCCTGGATCCTGCCTGGATCCTGCCTGGATCCTGCCTGGATCCTGCCTGGATCCTGCCTGGATCCTGCCTGGATCCTGCCTGGATCCTGCCTGGATCCTGCCTGGATCCCTGCCTGGATCCCTGCTTGGATTCTACTTGGATCCTGCCTGGATCCCTGCCTGGTTCTTGCCTGGATCCTGCCTGGATCCTCCTTGGATCCCTGCCTGGATCCTGCCTGGATCCCTGCCTGGATCCTGCCTGGTTCCTGCTTGGATCCTGCCTGGATCCTGCCTGGATCCTGCCTGGATCCTACTTGGATCCCTGCCTGGATCCCTGCCTGGATCCCTGCCTGGATCCTGCCTGGATCCTGCCTGGATCCCTGCCTGGATCCCTGCCTGGATCCTGCCTGGATCCTGCCTGGATCCCTGCTTGGATCCCTGCTTGGATCCCTGCCTGGATCCTGCCTGGATCCTGCCTGGATCCTGCCTGGATCCCTGCCTGGATCCCTGCCTGGATCCTGCCTGGATCCCTGCCTGGATCCCTGCCTGGATCCTGCCTGGTTCCTGCTTGGATCCTGCCTGGATCCTGCCTGGATCCCTGCCTGGATCCTGCCTGGATCCCTGCCTGGATCCTGCCTGGATCCTGCCTGGATCCCTGCCTGGATCCTGCCTGGATCCTGCCTGGATCCCTACCTGGATCCTGCCTGGATCCTGCCTGTCCCTCCCGCTCCCACATTCCCAGTTCCCCCGGTTTTGGTGGGGCCGGGTGGTGCCAGGACATCAGGCGGTGCCCTCTGCTCCCAGCCCCGCCAGATGTGCTGCCAGGTGTGCGGCCGTGGGGAGCAGCACCGGCCCTCACTGGGGCTGTGCTGAGCCCTCCCAAACCCATCCCACCCGCACTCCAAGCTGCTGGAATTGGGAACCCAGGGGCTCATCCCAGGTGTTGGCACTCCGGCTGTTCCTCCAAGCTCCTCGGTGCCAGGAGAGGTGCCCGCGGCTGCCCTGGCTGTGCCACAGCCCCATTCCCTCCCCAGGCACCGGCACGGGGGGCTGTGGGATGGAGCCGCGTCCCCTTGGCCTGTTCTGCTGCCCCGGGCATTGTCCCCTGCCAGGTCCCAAGGCGCTGCCAGGTCCCTGCCCCGTTTTGGGAAGCCTCACTGGTCCCACCGCCTCCCGGGCGGCTCTTTCCGCCTTTGCCCCAGGCTGTTCCTGTGGCATGGGGACCTTTTGTCCCCAAGTGCCACATCCCGTCCCCTCATCTCCCCTCCTGGGTCCCATCCAGACCCCCAGGGGCAGCTCGTTTATTTTGATTTCCTTTCCATTCATCTCCTTCCCAAAGGCCCCACAGGAGGAGTCGGGGTTGGGGGAGGAGGGGCTGGAATTCGCTGGTGAGGGGCTGGGATTAGGGATGGGGTGGAGGTTTAGGAACGGGGCAGCTTTTTGGGCAGAGCTCAGCCCCCCACATGGGGATCAGGAGCACATGGGGGTGACACCTTGTCCTTGTCCTTGTCCTTGTCCCTGCAGCCGACGCCGGGCCGGAGAGATGGGGCGTCCCCGAACGCCAACGCGCCCCCGGAGGGGGGGTCCTTCCCCTGGGTGGGGCCCAAGACGGTGGCGCTGCGGAAGAGCCCCCAGGGCGGCTTCGGCTTCACCCTGCGCCACTTCATCGTGTACCCCCCGGAGTCGGCCGTGCACTCGGCCAAGGTAGGGCTGGATCCCGGGAATGCCGCGGGGGGAGCGCCGGGTGCGGGACGAGGGCCGGGGGTGGGCACGGGGTGGGGAGTGCAGCGACCATTCCCTGCTTTTTGGGATTCCTGGAGCTGCCCCCGCCTGCCAAGGTGATCACCCCCCCGTGGGGATCCCACCCTGGGATGGAGGATGGAGGAGCCCGTGGGGATCCCACCCTGGGACGGAGGAGCCCGTGGGGATCCCACCCTGGGATGGAGGATGGAGGAGCCCGTGGGGATCCCACCCTGGGATGGAGGAGCCCGTGGGGCGTGGGGATCCCACCCTGGGATGGAGGATGGAGGAGCCCGTGGGGATCCCACCCTGGGATGGAGGAGCCCGTGGGGCTGCTGGAGCTGCTGGAAGATGAGTTCTGAGCAAGCAGCACCTCTGGAGACATCCCAGAGCCTTTTGGGATATGGGATTGTTTGTGGGAACGGAGAGGATCCCCCAGCTCCCAACAACGGCTGCGGCACCTCTGGGAAGAGCAGGAAAAGTCACCTCGGAGCCAGCCAGGGCTGATGGATTTTTGGCTCCCACTTTCCTGACTGTTGGTGGGGATTTTCCTACTGGATCTGCCCTGGGATCTGTGTCTTGGTCACTTTGTTCACCCACGTCTTTTGGGAGGACACGGCCCTGGCTTGGCACCTCTGAGCCCCGATCTGGGCAGTGCCTTTCCCCTGGAGGATGGAGAGATCCCATGGAGCCGCCCAGCAGCAGCTTCCAGCGTGGATGGAGAGCCCTGCACACCCCCCCCAGGCATGAACCAGCTCCAAACTCCTGGAATTCTGCAATTCGGACCCCCACTTCTCTCCCCATTTTCTGTGGATGGCAAGAGGACAGTCTGGGATCTGGGCAGTCCCACCCATCCCTTTCCCGGCTCCAGGCAGGGCAGATCCCTGGCTCATCCCATCCCCCGGAGCTCTGCGGCTGCCCCACGGCCCGGGCGCTGGCAGACAGGGAAGTGCCGTGGGAAGTGAGTCACAGGGTGGGGAGAACCGACTCGCCGGAATCCCTGCTCGCCATCCTCCGGCACCTCCGGCTTTTCCCAGGCTCCTCATTCTGCCTCTCCAACCCCTTCCGGCCTTCCTGCGCCGGGAACGCGGCCCCGTCCCCGCCAGCGTCACTCTGCCGGCGAGATTTTGTCATGGGAACGGCCTGAAGCTCCTCCAAACCCGCTCCCAGCTCTCCTCTGCCTTCCAAAAGTTGCTCCTGCCCCGCTGGGCACCGGGCTGAGCCCTGCCCGGGCGGCAGCACCCGGGGCCGCGTGGGACGGAGCGGGATCAGCGCCGGGAGCGGGAGATGCTCTTGGAAAGAGGCTGGGAATTGCTCCCGGCCGCCGTGCGAGCGGAGCTGGCGGGGCAGGGCGCGGTGGGGCCGCCTCAGCAGCGGCAGCAGCCGCGGGGGCCGGCACCCCGCCAGCTCCGGGGGCTGAGTTTCGGTGGCTTGACTCAGCAGGGAGGGGACCGCAGCCGCGCTGGCCGCGCTCATCGCCCTGGCAGCCGGGCCGCCGGGGTGCCCCCGGGGCCGGGAAGGGCTCTGGGGTGCCGCAGGGCCAGGACGGGCAGGGAGGGGCCGAGCCCGTGCCCGCGGGGGCTCTCGGCGGCCCCACGGGCTCGCTGTGCCCCGCAGAGGCCGTGGGATGTGGCTTTTCCTCGGGCACCTGCGGTGGTGCCCTGCTGGCTGCTCCTTGTCGCTGGCAATGTCGCACACTGAGGGGACCTGGCACCTTGGGGACACCAGGGCTGTGTCCCCACCGCCTGGGGGATGGGGCCAGATCTGTGCTCCCAGCCTGGCATGGGAAAATCCGGCGCTGGTGGAGGGAGAATTCCCCCTCCGCGTGCCCAGATCCCTCCCTGGGGGGACGTGAGACCCACCCTGTGCCCCACGCCAACCTGGCACCCCCTGCCCGGGCAGCGCGGCTCTGCTGGGGCTCCCCACGGGGGGTTTGGGTTAAAGGGCAGGGATTTGGCACAATTCCCACCCCACGGCACAGATCAGTGCCCACCGCAGCCCTGGCAGCCCCCGCCGTGCGCCGGGAGGGGCAGGGATGGGCAGGGATGAGGATTCCTCCGGGATGGGGTGGATCCCTCCCATGGAACCCCACGGCAGGGCTCGGCTGCCCGCTGTGAAGGGTGAGGTGCCACCCCGGGGCTGGCAGGGCCCCTTCCCGCTCCCCTGCCCCAAGGCCGGCCCCACACCGGCAGCTGGCTGCGGGGGGCTGCGCGGGTCCCGCTGCCGGGGCCGGATCCGGTGTCAGGAGGTAATTTTAGCCGGGGGCGGCGGAGGGCAGAGGGACGCGCCCGTCCCGAGGGGGTTTCGTGGGGCTGCCACCCTCCTGTCCCCTCCCTGCCCGCTCGTCACGGCCCTGCCACCGAATCAATTTTTTTTTTTTTTTTTTTTTTTTTTTTTTTGGCAGGAGGAGGAGAATGGAAACCGAGCAGGTGAGCAGCGGCATGGGGACCCTGGGGACAGCGGCACAGGGTGGCACAGGGGAGAGCGCTTTGGTGGCAGCTTGGTGGCCCTTGGCACCGGCGATGGGCTCGGTGTCCCCAACCCCCCGGGAGCTTTGCGGGATGTCACGCCCGGAGGGGACGCCGTGTGGCCAGCACCGGCCCCGGGCTGCGCGGGGTGTTTGGGGACAGGGACGCCGTCCCCTCCCGGAGGCTCAGGGTGACGTGAGCGAATGTGAAGGTGTCAGAACGGATCGGCGCTGGCGCGGTGACGCGGCGGTGCCAGAGCTGGCACCCGGCACCCGGCGGGGCTGGGGGGCCCCGACCTCGCTCCGGGTGGGATTTGGGGTCCCCGGTGGGCACCGCGCCCGCCTGGCAGCACTCGGTGGCTTCGGCTCTCGGGGGTGGCGGGGCCGGGGGTCTGGGGGAGGACAGGAGGTGACTCTGGGGGAGGACAGGAGGTGACTCCCCCGTCACGGGAGGGTGCTGGCTGTGGTGGCAGCTCCCTGACACGCTGTCCCCACGGAGCAGGTCCCCCCCGGAGCCGCCTGGAGCCCATGGACACGATCTTCGTGAAGAACGTGCGGGAGGACGGCCCGGCGCACCAGGCGGGGCTGCGCACGGGTGAGCGGGGACGCGGAGCCGGGGGCGGCTCCCGGCTGCTCGCGGGATCCCGGCAGTGCTCCGCCTCCTCTGCCGGGGAATTTCTCGCTTATTCTGCTCTTTTTTCTGGCGTTCCTGCTCTTTTCTGTCCCTTCTCTCTGGGTCTGAGAGCGCTCTGCTCTCTCTGGTGCTCAGAGCAGCCTTGGGGACCCCGGGGGTTCCCCTGGGTTTGGGGTCCCCCTTTGCTCCCTTTGCCACGCGGGTTCTGGCAGGGGTCTGCTCAAACCCTGCCCTGGGTGACCGTGGGGACATCCAGGTGCCAGCCCTCGCTCGTGGTGACACTGTCCCCTTCCCGGGCTCTGCAGGTGACCGGCTGGTCAAGGTGAACGGGGAGAGCATCATCGGGAAAACCTACTCCCAGGTGATCGCCCTGATCCAGAACAGGTGAGCGCCCCTCCGGGAGGGGAGGTGACAGCCGGGGGACACCTTACAGCAGGCTCTGTCCCTCTGGATGTCACTGGGATGACAGGGGCGCTGAGGCTCTTGGGTGACCAGGGACAGGCAGCAAGGTGCTGTCACCATCCCGTGGGGACAGGGACGTTCACCTCGGGGGGATCCAGCCAGGTGTGAGCTTGGGGACAGGTGGGACTGACCCCTCTGTCCCCTGTCCCGCAGTGACGATGTGCTGGAGCTCTCCATCATGCCCAAGGACGAGGACATCCTCCAGCTGGTGAGTTTGCTGGGCAGGTGCCTTGGGAACACTTGGGGACACTTGGGGCACTTGGGGACAGGGCTCCCCCAGCATGCCTGGACGAGCAATGGGTGCAGAACTGGGGGTGCAGAACTGGGGGTACTGGGGCAGGAACGGGGGGATGACCCCTGTGATTTTGGGGGGAGCACCCTCAGGCACAGCTGGAGGATGAATTGTCCCAGGTCTCTGCAGTGGGCATGCGGAGGACTGTGACCCTGTCCCCCCTCCCTGACCCGCTGTTCCCCCCTCCCCAGGCCTATTCCCAGGACGCTTACCTGAAGGGCAACGAGCCGTACTCCGGGGGGGCTCAGAGCATCCCCGAGCCCCCTCCCATCTGCTACCCGCGGAAAACCTACCCCTTCCAGGCCCGGGGTGCCGAGCCCGCCCCGGGCCAGCCGCCGGACCCCCGCGCCCCCCGCTCGGCCACCACCGGTCCCTCGTCCCCGCTCGGC